TTACCTAACGAATTAATCGAGAGATAAGTAGTTATATATGAGAAATTAAATAAGATAACCTAAGTAATAATGCTTTCAGACGCCATAGTTAACTCTAATTGATAATAAATCACAGTTTTAAATATTAGTTAAAATGGATTAAGAACATTCCACTTTTATTAATATAAAGTAGAATGTTCAGCAGTCTCATGTGTATCACCGAATCACATTCTTTTGTTTTTTGGGCATAATCTTTTGCAAAATGTATGCACCCCTAAGACACTGAACTATACTATCAATTCCAGGTAAATTCGTTTATTTCAGAATGGTGAAACAATTACTACAGTGGGTAGAAAAAGTATTGGTAATTTCCTATAATTAATCATATTACCTAACAAAGGAAATGATTGGAAATTTTAACTGGACATACCGAACACAGGAGGTAATAAGATTTTTATTTTGCAAATCTGTTCTATTTATTTTACAAATTTTGTTATTAAAAATCTAATGAAACTTTCAATTTAATACGCCTTTTACACAAAATATACAACAAAAACGTAAATATGCATGTCAAAATAATACTGGCAAAGTTCTAACTGCTATTCAAATTTTGTTATGTTGAGGTCATGAGTTTAGACTGATAAACAAACCCTGTTAGTATAAAGCCTGAAGTGCTATTTAAAAACTTTTAGAACGTTATTTTGCTAATACTGGGTAATTTTGCTAATACTACATACTATACTAATAAAATGGCTTCGAAGTCGAAGGAGTTGGATGTTAATGTTAAAAGCATGATTATTCAACTCCGAAATGAGGGTTTAATTTATCGCGCTATAGGAATACAGCTGAATTTTTTACTGTTGGAAGTGTTGTAGAAAAGTTTAAAGAGACAGGGTCGACGGAAAATAAGATTAGAAGTGGACGGCTTCGAATGTTTTCTGCAAGGGAAAACTTGAGATTATTAAAGAGGTTAAGAAAAATTCTAAAATAATTGCACCCAGTTAGCCAAAGATGTTGCTAATACTTCATATAAAACTTTTAACGCACAGACTGTACGTAACATTTGACATGGAGGAAGTTATTATGGAAGAGAAGCTAGTAAAAAAAACTTTCATTTTAGAAATAAACAGGAGAGAGGGATTAGATTTCGCAAAATCTCATTTTAATTTAGTAGAAGAATTTTGGAATATTGTTAGTTTGTCCGGGGAATCGAAGTTGAACATTTTCGAGAGTGATGGACGACAACATGTGTGGAGAAAGCCTAACACCGAACTGGAAAAATAACATTTAACACCGACTGTAAAACATGTTGGAGGGAGCATCGTACTTTGGAGTTGTATGGCAGCAAACAGAATTGGTAACCTGTGCTTCACTGATGGTATTAAGACAGCACGCACATACATTGGCATAGTGTGCCATAACATGAAATTAGGTGCACAAAAACTTTGCTTAGGAACATCATTTGTGATTCAACAGGACAACGACCCTAAGGATATAGTAAACCTCGTCTGACAATAGTTACTCTATAACGCTCCTCGCCAGTTAAAGACACCGCCTTAATCGCCTGACATGAATTCAACTGAAATTTTATGGCACAATTTAGACATAGAAATCAGGAAACAAAATTTTGTGTAAAGATGAACTTAAGCCAATACTCCTGTAAGAATGGCACAAAATTCCCAACATGACTTAACCAATAGGACTTTTTCAACAACCAGGACTTTGGTTTTCTCTATGAGAAATAGATTACAAACTGTTATAGATGCAAAAGATATGAATAGAAAGTATTAAATTTCGTTCCCACATTTTGCTGTATGATATTGCTAATACTTTTTTGACGTGCAAATTTACGTTTTTATTGTATATTTTGTGTAAAAGACATATTAAAACTTAGGTTTCATTAGATTTGCGCCTTTTCCATTATGTCCAGCTAAAATTGTCAGGCATTTCATTTGTGAGCTAATATGCAATTTCCAGTAGTTTTTTTACTCAGTGTAAGTTCTGCTTAAGGGAAGGAAGGCAGCCAGTGGAGAACTAACTTCGTATTCAAACACACATTATAAAAACCACGAAACCTAGCCACGTAAACAGGCCGTTTGTCTGAAATGGAATCCGGGACGAAGTACAAGTGTTCAGTAGTCTTAATAACTTGGCCCCAGGTGAGCCTTGCTACGAGTGACGTTCAAATATATATAGGCATTTTTCCGTTCTTGCAAAGAGTTCAATATAATCATGAGTCTTTACAGCAAATACATTCTTGTTTTGATTTTTTCAATAGTAGTGAGTGCTTCCATCATTCTTGTTATTTGTAATCATCATGTCGAAGCAGAAGTTCACAACAGTGTTGCTTAGCGAATTATCGTTTCTACTGATGAATATTTCATTATATTTCAGATTTATTCGAAACTTAAAAATCAATTTGGAAGTGATTTAGTACCAACTGATTTTCTTCTCTTAGGTGCAACTACAAATCTTTTGTTGAGAGAAAATTGACGTCTAATGAGTGGGTTATTGAATCTGTGAAACAATGGATCAACAGGTAGTGAAAAACACTTTACTCTTCTGGGATTAGAAAATTTCGTGATAATTGTAGCAAATGCATAGCAGTTGCAGATGACTGCGTAGGAAAAACATGTGCAACTCGTAATTATTGTATATAATAAATAACGTATAGCTGATAAATTCCTGTTCATCTTTGAATGCATCATAAACCATTCAGAGGTTTGGTTTATTTGATTTCAGCAAAGCCCTTAAGGCTGTCTGCCTAAGAATGATCGACTTTCTAAGGAAACCTGACTCGTTTATGTGTTACACAGGAGGAAAATCACGAAAACATCCATGCAGATAGCCCGTTGGTGGGGATTCGAACCCCGGACCGAACTACCTGTCTTGAGCGATTTTACCGCTCGGCTGCTGTTGAACCGAAACCATTCAGAGTAACAAAATTATCTACGGAAAATTTTAAAAAGAAAAAAATATGTGTAATTGCAGCGGTAGTAGTAGTAGAAGATGTTTCGGTTATTTAATAACATCGTTCTTTTCATTTCTAATAATGTTTATGCTTTTCTTATTTGCAGTGTGTTCTTTTTGTTTTTTAATAGTAATTACGTAATCAAAATTTAATATTATTTAATAGTTACTTAATAGCAATTAATTAATTAATAGCAATTACGTAATTCAAAAAAAATTTTTTGCAGATGAAACTGCTTAAAAATACACAATAATTACGAGTTACGAGCAATTCTTTGCTAATTTGGATACAGGACCTTTTCATGTGTATTTATAGCTTTCGGATTAACTGTTATTTTGTGTAACCGTAAGTCTCGCTCCCGATCCATAACTAATAAATCAATCGGCAGTTGACTACAGTCGTGAAACTCATAAGGTATGTGTCTCATGCAGAGATTAATCAAATGATTAAAATTTTGGAAAGAAGGACTTTTTTCTTACGTTTGTAACAAGAATATAATAATTTAGTATTGAAAACTTAACTGGGTACATTTCTCGTAATTTGATTACGTGCATCTTTGTGACAGCAACTGATCAATTTATGTGGCTGATCTTATGTTTGACATTTTTTTAACATTATAGGAAATTGATCTTAAATTTTATCAATACTTTATTTGGAATGATCTGAGTTTTCAAGATCGGCATTGTAACATTTAATTGAAATTTCATTAATTGCATAACTTGAGCATTAGAAATAACTTTTACAAATATAGTTGCGAGAAGTACTTAATCGAAAGTACTTGCAGACAATGCTCTTAACAGCTCGGTTAATTCTAAACTTTGATCGTTAAAAGAAACATGAAGAAAACAAAATTATATTCTAAATAACTATATTGGTTTTAGTCATATTTATCTTTTTCTATTTGTCAAGATCGTATCAGAATATCAGAATTGTGGATAAATTATAAATTATGGTGAATTGTGGAAAGAATAACAGACGTTTTTCGCTACAGATGACTTTAAAGCTTGTAATAAATACAAATGGCTTAGCAATGCTGAATATAAATTCCATCAACAAGAGACATAGAAGAGTATTACTAATGTACAATTAACGTCCCAAAATAAATCTTTCTCTACCCACTACATTAGTTTCTTTACTTGAGGAAATAGAAGTAACTTCATTGATAAAATATTTGTGAAATAGTTATTGAAACTTCACAAACAATCCAATGAAGAAGTATATCTATGAAATATGTTTTTCTAAAAGTTGAAAGTAAAGACATTAAAATTGGGATCAATAACTAGATCTGAGAAAATTTTATGGATGTGAAACACTTTTAGGAAATTTAATTCTCCAGCGGAGGATGTTTCTTAGATTATTTTTACTATAGAGAAACAGAAAATGTGATATTTTTTCTAGAAAATTCTGGGGGAAATGGTGTGTGTTCCATTAGTGCGAACTTTCAAGACTGTACGAATTTGAACAATGTATATCAAGACACACGGCAAATAATTCTATATACAACTCCAGGAATTCATATGCGGAATGGGGTCTTTAAGTATGGGACTTTTTGTTATAATTCATTTCATTCTAAAAATATTAATGTTCGCATCTCTACAAGAATCATTTAGCAGCCCGTTCGCGGGATTCAAACCTCGGACAGAACTACCAGTGTTCATCGACTTTATCGCTCAGCTGCTCCTTAAAATGAGAAAATATAAATTACGTGCAACCACAATCAACGTTTTCGAGTCATTTGATTTGGTATTCTTCTCGTAAAGATGCATGTATTTAGTATTTGTATAACTTAGCCAATGGTTAGACGTTTATTTCAAAAACATGTGCCATAAACCAATTTTTCCAAGCATGTTATGATTGCCTATATTTTGTTTACTTCCTTCTTATTCCTCGGCGAACTATCAATGATCCCCTAAATCTTCTCAGAAACCAGATAGGCAATAATTCGCATGCTGAAAACAATGGTTTGTATCAGATTTTGAACTCTTTTCTCGTGCGAACGGTTACCATATAAAATGCAGAATTTGCAGTCTAAGAGAAAGAAGGAACTTACCACGTTGATGAGCTGAATAAAAGAAAGGCCGAATTGGACTTCAACTGTCTTATTCATAACTTCGACGGGTCGGATCAACTTGTTATAATCGCGAAAGAGATCACGAACTAAGCGTTCTTCGTCTTCAGAAGCCATAACTGAAAAAGAAGAGAAAGAAATTTTTATTTTAACGCCTGCCATTCAACAGAATCAGCAGTCATAGTAAAAGACCTCTCCAAAGAAAGGTGAGAGCATAAAATGACCACTTAAATTTATCTCTAAGGTAGATATCATTAACCGTTACAAAAAAATTAAAAATGGCTTGACTTTTTTTTTGGAGCACCGATAACAGCCCTTTGCTACGATAATGACCTTAAAAAAACCTATTATGTGCTGAATTAAAAATGGTGTAATGAAACGACAGCGTAACGAAATAGTTTTCTTTTGATTTCTTAAATGTTAATTGCTGTCATTATACAACACCGTTATGTTCATAAAAGTGAAATGGGTGAGGGTCGTTTTATGGAGAACTTTAGCTTCGCAAAGTTTGCAATAATAAAAAAAAAATCAATTATTTCCAAAACTAATTAGAATTCATTGTATAAATATTAGGGAATAGAACTGCTGAAGATGTACAAATATATACTCAATATAGAACTTTAAAATAATTTCAGTGTTCGAATCCTAAAAAAGCAGTTTGTACAAATACAACATCGGTATAATAAACAAACGCTAATGTTAATATTGCTTTTAAGTGTAAAAGCTATGTAAAATCTTGCATATTTCATAAAAAAGCACATTATAATTCTAATGTCTAAAGAGTTCTCGCTTAAAAGTCAGATTAAATTCACTTTTCTGTTGAAATCAATCGTAACGTTGAAAACTGCGTTTATTAAAAAAATATTTTCTTTAAAATTAATTCTTATTAAATCATTTTGTGTTTTCTTTCGGTGACGAGAATAAATATTTTTTTCACTAATCTTCAAAATTCTGAGCATCACTACAAAGTTCTGTGAACTTCCCGAGTTCTAAATTTGATAATTCAAATGTAAATATTTACGTTTACATATAAAAATTTGTTCTTAAACATAATGCAACTTTGACTAATACCGCCTGCTTAAAATTTATTACAGTTTAATTATTCTGATTCTAATTTGATTAATGAGATTAAATTCAAAATCTCTTGCAGCAATATTTTTTTTAACATGTTAAAACTGGAAGGGAGATTAATCACATTAAATTTAGCTCCAGGTTATATTACGTGATCAAGTATTTTAATTCATCGACTAAGAAAAGGGAAACTGAGTTTTATAATTACAGTTATAAAGCCCAGTTTTTAATTGTACATCATATATTTCTTTAAATACTGCCACTCCTTAGTCTAACTACTTAATCTAACAATGTGAGATATTTTTTCTGAAATTATAAGAATTTTAGGCAATCAACTATAAGATAAAAAGTCAAAATGTATCGTATATAAAAGACAGCCGACAAGACTCTTATCCGATGGGACATTTTGACAACGCATCGATTTAATCAGTTTGTCCATTCACTCGACTGTGAGAACAGCTTGCGCGTTTACATATAAAACTATCTTACCTATTTTGATACGGCTGATTCAATATAGTGTCAGCCAAAAAAGGACTGATCCGGAAAAAGCTTTTAAATATCTTTTTTAAATAATAATTAAATATTTAATTTAAATGACGTACTTGGTACTTACGGAAAATCCCGTCAACCATTTTTGCCCATTAAAGAAAAGACGCCAAACTACGCGAACTTTCGCCAAAAATGGAAAAATCTTCTTCAAACACGCTGGAACTGGTGTAGCCTTGATTATATATTTTAGTTATTATTCTTGAGTAAAAACTCCGTTTTTCTCTCTATCACGCATTTTCACAAAAAATATGATTAAAATTTGGGACCTGTCTACTACAGAAGAGCATGCTGTTAAATATTTCCAAAGTTATGGAATCTTGCACCGGCCTAAAAAAAATGTGTTAATGGCCATGAAATGTCGCCTAGCGAAAAACGTAGTGAAAATAATTGTTTTTACAGTATATTTCCTTAATAAAAAATAATGGAAATTTTTAATTAAAAATTAAATATAGATAAACAATAATATAAAAATTTGAAAGAAAAATAAGAATAGAACGTTCTTAATTTAGTAAATGGGTTATTTTTGGTTTGGCGCGATTGGAGCAGTCTCTTTTGGTCGAGGGGATTTTCCGTAAATACCACTACTTTTATTGCATGCCAATATTCTTGAGCTGAACGACATCGCAAGTCCTTAAAATTAATTTAAAATAAAATAAATATTAAATTTTACACTTTATGAATACAAACAAGAAAGTAATGGGCAAAATGCATTGGATCACATAAACATAGGAAAAAAAAAACTCTACAAAAATTGCTCTAATAATGTGTTGAGAGTCTTTAGCGTTTCAAGAATTCTCTGGAACATACAAGAATCTTCTAGGCATGGATTTCGTGAAATTTTGATTGACATTTACTTTTATTTTTTCTCATTTTATAGTGCGTTTTACTCTACGTACATTCCTATTAGAAATTTTAAATTTTGTTTTGCAAAGGATCCCAAATATGTTCATTACCTGTGTCAGATAGGTACGTTACTTGTTTATACTCGGAAGTATGTTCATTAGGATTAAAGTCTCGACTAAACACAAGCATTACGTTTTGATTACGTGGGTATATATGGCAAACCACTCTAGCACTATCTGTCTAAGGGAAGGGGTGAATTCTTTTTTTTTTTTTTTTTTGCTTATTACGTGCTCCGCTCTTAGGCACTACACGGAAAGGGAGGGATGCCCCGTATAGGGCTTTTTAAGGAAAACTGGCTCGTATCCCTGTAACACATGGGAGGAAACCACAAAAACACCCATGCAGCCAGCCGGTTCGCTGGGACTCGAACCCCGGTCCGAACTACCAGTGTTCAGCGGGTTTTACCGCTCGGCCGCTGATGGGAAAAGGGGTGAATTCGTGAAAAACTTTCTAAGAGAAACACTAAAATGCTTATTCAACCAGTCCGTTCGCCGAAATTCGAACCTTGTGCTTATTGTGGGACATGACACAAAAAACATTGACCTTTGGAGAATCTCGCTCTTGTTCAACAATGTTATGCAGGATTTATGTTCCCTAAATTCTACATTTCTCTCTGTTTACCTTCCCATTTCTATGAAATTTTGCCTCGTCGGAAAAAATTATTGAATTCATAAAAGCATAGTCTTTGTCCTGCAATGCACAGCAAAATTGAAATTGCTGGTCTTTGTCTTTAGGATATATCTTTTGCACTAACTGTAGTCTGTATGGTTTCATGTTTAATTTTTTATGCAAAACTGGCCACAGAATCGTTGTTGACATTTCTAACTCATGCGAAACTCGGAAGACACTTTGTGCCATTGGTGTCAAGAATTAGATTATCTCGTCGACGTTTGTAGGATCACGCATTGGTTTCCGCATACAGTGTCCGAAAAATGAGTGTTGTTGAAAAAAATTACGCCTTTACTCTCTAAAATGATGTACTTAGGGATGGTACTCGTTTGCCTACAATAAATTTTTAAAGTGTTCTTGGACTATTGAAACATGCTGTATATATAATTATGTATATATGCGAAAATTAAGAAGAGACTGCATAAACAAATATATGCGCCATGCATATGGTTGCTTATGCAGTCCCTTCTTAAACGACACATTTGTTTGCTTAACAAATTCTGCCAGTAAAATTTGTTACAAAATTCTAAATTTACATTTGATTTGATCATTTTTCAAACAAAACGCGAATATTAAATGCCTGAATATTAAATAAATAATGCTTGAATATTAAAAAGCCAATTTATTCTTATTTAGTTACGTACGATCCAATCTCTGTCTATTTACAAAATAGAATTCCTTTGTTTTTATTTGAATGCTTATCTTTATTTAATGCTGACATTTTATTATTACAAATTATTAGTTCACTTTTCAGCACAATTAAGAATAGTTTTCTTCTCTAGTTCTCTACTGTAATCAAAATACTTCACTTTCGTATTTCTCGTAGCTTATTTCATTCAATCAATAAAACCGTCTTACGAAAACTAGTCATTTGAGATCTGTCCAAGTAGCATTTGCATACACTTTTCGACGAAGAGTTCTTAGAAATAAATAGAAACTCACTTGTCCATTCTTTGTGCACTTTACGAGGTTTAAAATACTTTAAGATGCTTATTTTTTAACTAACTAGGCACTTAATCGAATGTTAATAAAACATTACTGATTTAATTGAGAAGCCAGTTATTATAGAAATTTGTTTACACAGTGAGTAACTTTCTTTCAAATGCCAAAGTTTTAGGCTTTATTCTTTGAATTTGAATATGGGAGAGCCACGACGACTCTCTGCTTAAGGGACCCTCCTCCGTAGACGGTTTTCCAAGGAGCGCCCAAACGTCAAAAGAAATTGAATAACTGCATTTATATATCAGACTTGAAATAATTATGTTACGTGAAATAAAATGTATGAATAAAATCACAATTCTCAGTGTCTCGTAAAAGTTAAATTTAGAAAAACACCTTTATGACATAAACATATTTGAATTTTATATACTATTAAATGTAATGTTATGGTAAATAAATCTGTTTTTCTGAAATTTTCTTAAAATTCTTTGAGTAACACATTCGAACCCACTAATAGAAGGCTCGGCATTAATTTTAGTACAAAGTTTTGCATTAGTTAATTTATCAGTAACATTTTAGCTATCTAAAACTGATACTACTAAATAACCTAAATAACCTGTTTAGCCACCTTCAGATATATTTTGGACTTTAGATATATTTTGGTAAATCTGCCTACGAGTAAACATTTGGCGACATTTGAATTTGCACATTACAGACAGAGAGTTAAGGTTGCCAATTTTGTCGATTAAGTACTGTTCTCGCTTTAACAAGGAAGTACTTTTTTAAATATACAGGGTGGTTCAAAACTATATGTCAAAATATAAAGGCAGGTAGAGGGGACCTAAATAAGATATCGTATAGGAATGTGTGTGCGGTAATGCCGCGTTGATCCAGTAGAGAGCACTGATGAGTGCGGCGTATAAAAGCTTGCGCGGCTAGCGGATGGGTGCGGCTAGCTGGATTCTTCATTTCCCGCACGGATCTTGAGCAGCATGCATCGTTACACCAATG